GGCATTTAGAAATGTTGTTTATCCTGTTTCTTGTTTGAAAGATTACTGGGAATGACACAAACCCTATACCCTTGGAAAGAGAGACATTAAGCAAACAATGTTGCTAATAATATTTAGTAAGAGTTGTGATAAAGGCCTCAAACAAAAAGTAATTGTAATTAGATTACATAATCTGGGTATCTGGTCTAAAGGAGGAAGGGTAGAGTTGGTCAGGAAAGGCTTTCCTCAGGAATTGAGTTTGTGTAGCATATCCAGATGTGCCTATGACCCATTAATTTCAAATGTTTCCTTGTCTTTTTTGTCAACATCCAGCTATTTTATAGAACATTGTGATTTTGCTCTCTCTCCCTGTGCATCATTCAGTCACCTGTCTGAACCTTAGTTGCACATCATTAGCTCATGCCAATTTCCACTCTTCGCTTTTGTGTTTCTATTACTGGCACTTTTATTCTTCTATTCCCCAAGCCTCCCTACTCCCCCAACCATAATTTATCAATAATCCTTTCTTTTTTTTTCTCCCATGTCTTTTCATTTTCATTCCCCCTGATAACTTCCTTAGTCTGGACATTCACCACTCTCCACCTGGATTGCACACCAGCCCCTTAGCTGGGGGTCTCGACTCCATCCCCTTCTTCACTCTACAATATAGCATATACTCTCTCTGTTCATGTGAGTGCTATCTGTCCATTCTGGATACTACTGCTACACTAATCCTCTGTAAACATGATTTTTATCGCCTCTTTTCTGTTCAGACACATCTAGTGCTATTTCTAAGTTGACACTTTTGTGCTTCACAGTCCTTTCTAAGGACATTCATTAATCTACAGGACTCCTTGAATGACGTCTTATTTCTGTTTTCACCCCAACACATAGTATCTTATTATAGTCTCACTCTCAGGTAAACATTGTAACTATTTCATTTCTTCAAACTTGTCAAGTATTTTTTAAGTTTATTTATTTTATTTATATATATGTATTTATGTGTGTGTGTGTGTGTGTGTGTGTGTGTGTGTGTGTATTTATTAGAGAGAGAGAGAGAGAGCATGTGTGCATGCACCAGTGGGGGAGGGGCAGCGCGAGAGAGAATTCCAAGCAGGCTCTGCACCGTTAGCACAGAGCCTGACATGGGCCTTGAACCCATGAACTGTGAGATCATGATCTGAGCAGAAGGCAGACACTTAATCACTGAGGCACCCAGGTGTCCCAACCTTGCCAGGTATTTTAATAAGCTCTACACCCAATGTGGAGCTTGAGCTCAGGACCCCAAGATTGAGTCCCATGCTCTGCTGATGAGCCAGCCAGGCACACCCCTCACCAGGTATTTTTCCTGACACGTTCATCCCATTCTCATATCCAGATCTTGCTCATCACGCCATGACCCCCTCAAGCACCATCACTGTTAGAAACTGCTTTCCTAAATTTCATTAATCTTTCTTGCTCTTTGCTTTGAAACTTGTAACAAACATAGTCTGTACAGCATAAATCACTACCTAGTATGTGAAACATAGTGTTGGCTGTTTTTTCACTAGTCATTTTCCCCAATGGAGACCATGCTTCTGCAGACAAGAAAAATTCTTAATACTACTTCTGTGGTGTCTCCTGCACCTAATACAGCACTAAGCCCGAAGTGAGTGTTCAACAAATTCCCGATGACTGATTGCAGAATAACCAATTGATCAGTATCTTTGGGTGGGTTCAGATTTAATATCTACCATAGTGGCTTTTTTTATCCTATGTTAGGATGGTATGATTATATTTTCTTAGTATTAAGTACAAAAGACATTAAATCCAGCTAATGTATAGATAATTATAATCATATTAATAATAATGTGTAACTTTAAATATAAATTATGACATTAGAATAAAGTAGAAGTGTCGAATTAACTTCTAAGGTTAATATGCCATTGTATTCAACTGATTCTACAAATAGTCATTGGGTGCTTACCCTGTGCCTGGCACTAGGGGCTCAATGATAGACAAAAGAGGCCTTATCTCCACTCTCTTAGGGTCTACAGTTAGACAAGGGAGACTGACTTTAAACAACATTTTAATTACAATAATTGTCAAGAATTGCAAAGAAGATATCATTTCTACAATGGCCATGTGTAACTGCTGGTCTTACCAAGTTTGGAGGGTCAGCTCCATCTGAGAAGATTTCACAGAGGAACTGTGTGGAGGGGCTTAGTTTTCCACATGTACCTGTCTTCCCCACCTGGCGATGCCCCACAAGTGAAGGGCTCAGGAGAAGCTGCTACAGCGTCATCCCATTGCAAAAGGAGTGACAGCAACATTGCAGCCCATTCTGAGATTTTCATAGCTAACAGACATACAGAGAATGGGAAGTAGTTGTTGGTGGATGAGGTTGCAGCAGGAACAGTAACTTTTTTTTTTATTTAAAAATTTTTTTTTTCAACGTTTATTTATTTCTGGGACAGAGAGAGACAGAGCATGAACGGGGGAGGGGCAGAGAGAGAGGGAGACACAGAATCGGAAAAAGGCTCCAGGCTCTGAGCCATCAGCCCAGAGCCTGACGAGGAACAGTAACTTTTAAGAGTCTATGCTAGAGACCAAATTCGGCCACAGCAAAATGAGATACGCTGTCAAAAAGGTTTAGATGAAACTTAGAGAACCTTAACGTATCCATTTAAATATCTTGGACCAAATCCTACCCTCAGAGCCATACACTGGAATACCGTTGGCTTCAGGAGGAAACCTGAAGAGGCTAATGGAAAAGAGACGTCTTTCAGTATTTCCTATTTGCTAATGGAGAAGGTAGCTTTGATAGGTTCCTCATACCCATCCTACATACTGAGAGCAAATACTCCTCACCACTTTGCCTCATCACAGATGAGATTAGTATGAGTTACATGCCTTCACTTCTGACAATAAGAACAAACTAGGAAACACTGCTATCTGAAATGCAAAATGTGGTAATACATTTTGTATCTATTCAAAAACACTCCACAGCTAAGATTGAAATGGAGGCATAGAAAGATGTGAGATTTTGTATACTGCTGTTATACTCCAGAATATTATATTATTTATAAGTATGTACATAGCTTTTAAAGTGCAATTACTTTTCAAAATGAAATAACTACAATTACAATGGAAACTCTCAGTGGTCCTGGTAATTTTGATCTGCTTAAATTATACCTACATCTACACTAGAATGTTTAAAAGAGCAGAATGTTATCCTTTACATTAGGCTTCTTTTCAAGCATGCCAGATCACTTGATGGCACTTTACTTGGCAGACCCACATGTTCTGCTCCTTCTTTCTTTGCAGTGTCCCTCAGACTTGTCCCTTCCCACGTTCTTCCTGACCTATGATCACTAACAGTGGCTGGCTTATGAGAAATGAGCCTGCACTGGCTTGCCAGCCTTGACTCTGACAGTGCTCTAGGATGTCTTCCATGTATTGATTATCAGTTCATTTTCCGGAAAATCTCACGCTTCTCATGTTATTCTCCAAATCAGGAAAGTATAAAGGTTCCATGTGGGTTTTCTCAACCATGAATTTCTGCACTATCAAATCTCTCCATAATCTGAGTTACCTATACTCTGTGAAAATTTATTTTTTAGGTATTTCATACCATTGCCTTCCACTCCTCATCAGTATTCCTTGCCCAATATGGTTCTCACTCCTGCCTCTATAAAGTTTCCTCTATCTCAGATGCCTACTTTTATTACCCTCCTCCTTCAAGGCTCTACCCAAATCCTATGTCCCCTTGATACAGACTTCCCCACTTGCCATGGTCTCTTTTCTTGTCTCATTACAGTCATTTGTCTCTAATCAGCAACCATATATTATTGTCATGCTAGTCACTGTATCTATAATTTTGGACGCTTTAAAAATTCACTATGTTGACCATTTATGTTTTAAATAGAAAGATAGTTACCCCATAAATATTTGAATGAATGACAGAGGTACCCTAAACATTTGAATGAATAATTACAATATATAATTTACAGGATAAATATCCTATTTATAAGTATCCTATTTATCCTACAAAACATCCTACAGGTATACTCCAGAATGTATTATTCATAAAGATAAACATATATTATTCAAAGTACTGTTCGCTGCTAATTTCATGGGTGAATATCACAGGATCTTAGAGCCAGAATGTTCTTGGTGATCATTTATTCTAACCTTATCATTTTACTTAGAAGGTACTGGGGCCAAAGTGACACAATTTATAAGAGGTAGAGGTGCAGTGAACCCTTTCAGCCTGCCTTATGGATAGTACCTTTCTTAATCTTTTTTTTTTTGTATTCTATGATATTTCCAGGACCATAAGACTCTAATAAACTTCTGCTCTAAGAAGCCCTCATTTTTCTTTCTTGTTATTTTTCAAAAGCTACTACATTTTTCTAAGATTAGTAAGACTTTAAAGGGATTTGAAACTATAGCATGACAAGGTATTTCATGAAGTTTTAGTTATTTTCATTGATTAAAAAAAACACTTATATAGTACTTTTTTCATGTAATTAATGAGCTCTTTTCCAAAAATCAGAATCTAATGTCTTAATTGGAGCACTTAATGAAATATGTCCAAACTTCTTTGAATTTTCAGTATATGTAGTTAAATACATACGCAGTGTGTGTGCATTACATGATGTGGCAGTGTGTGGCTCCAGTGACCTCTTTGGGGTCTTAGTTATATATTACAGAGTTTGATGCAAAGCTCGATGAATAAAAGGAAATTTCTTGTTAGCCCAGTGTATTTTCTATACAAAGGATAGAGACAGTGTGTTCAGTGGAGCCCTTTTCCTGTTTCTGTCCCTCCCATGTCCTCATCCAGATCTGGGCAAAAGAAAAAGAGGTTTTTGTGCTAACCATACACTATGGGAGAAACAAAAAGGCTTTCTTACCAACCATACACCAGTCCATCTGCCTAACAGCTTGCCATTTGTGCCAATCAGCAGGACAAAACCTTGCTCACTTAATGCTGCAGAATGAGTGTATGATATCCTATTCTATTTTATTCTGCTTTTCAGACTATATTTTCTGTGAGTCCTGATCAAGTGATACAAATGCGCTGCAATGGTGACATAAACTATCGACTGAGACTGGAAAAGTAGCTGAACACCATCTTTTCTTCTTTTTTATGGTGCTTCTATTGGAACAGTCTGAGGAAAGCATATACAGCATGAGTTTTATCATGAAGCTTCACAGACACTTTCAAAGGACCGTTATTCTGCTTGCCACATTTTGTATGGTGAGCATTATTATTTCTGCATATTACCTGTACAGTGGCTACAAACAGGAAAATGAACCCTCTGAGCTAATGTCAGAAGTAGACTGTGGGGACTTCCAGCACCCACCATACAGGCTCATGGAAGTCAAGACAATGAAGCTTTCTGATGCCCCGAAGACAGACCCCACAGTCCTGGTGTTTGTGGAGAGCCAATACTCATCACTTGGTCAAGACATAATTATGATTCTAGAATCCAGTAGATTCCAGTATCACATTGAAATTGCTCCTGGAAAGGGGGATCTCCCAGCACTTATAGAAAAAGCGAAAGGCAAATATATTCTCGTTATTTATGAGAATATATTAAAGTATATAAACATGGACTCTTGGAACCGAAGCCTGTTAGATAAATACTGTGTGGAATATGGTGTGGGTGTCATTGGATTCCACAAAACTAGTGAGAAGAGCTCACAGAGCTTTCAGTTAAAAGGTTTCCCTTTTTCCATATACGGAAATCTTGCAGTAAAAGATTGTTGTATTAATCCTCATTCTCCATTGCTTCGTGTGACCAAATCTTCCAAACTTGAAAAAGGTTCTTTACCTGGAACTGACTGGACAGTGTTCCAGATTAATCACTCAGCCTACCAACCGGTAATATTTGCCAAAGTAAAGACCCCAGAAAACCTTTCTCCTCCTATCTCTAAAGGTGCTTTTTATGCCACTGTCATACATGACTTGGGACTTCATGATGGAATTCAAAGAGTTTTTTTTGGCAACAACTTGAACTTTTGGTTGCACAAGCTCATCTTCATAGATGCTGTCTCCTTCTTGTCAGGAAACAGGCTGACACTGTCCTTGGACAGGTATATTCTTGTGGATATTGATGATATTTTTGTGGGAAAGGAGGGGACAAGAATGAACACCAATGACGTTAAGGTAAGGCTTTTTATCTCAAAGTTTCAAAGTTTAGGTTATCTCTCAGTAGGTTTACCAACTGTCTTGGATTTTCTGGGGCTATGGGATTTCCCAGGACGTGGGATTTTCATTTTATTGGAATGTCTTAGGCAAACTGGGATGAATTGTCTACCCTCAGCTATATTTGAGATATAGGGCTATTTCTCTCTGAATTAAGAAAAATGAAAGCTGTGCTAAAGGATTGAGTGTGGCAGGATCCTGAAGTGTTTTTCTATGTGTATGTAAAACTAGAGTAAAAACCAACTTGTTTACTTAACTTTCCAGAAACTATCTACCTTAGAAAACTCTTACTAAGACTTTAGTTCATTTAAATATGAAATCAAAGTGAATTTGTTTTAATGAAAATAAATACTCCCACAAATTTTCAAGAATTAAATATCTCATAAGTAGCAAGTTCAGATATTTTTGGAAGTCAAATGTGCAACTCATTTTCTCTTATATTTTTTTGAAACTGAAAATCAGCACTACTAAATATGGAGAGCTATGAATATACAAGCTTACTTATTCGTATATAAACATAAGGATTTAAATTAAGTTTCAGAATTCATTGAACACTTCTGGTACATATATGAAGCCCATTATGCTCATTTAAATGCTATTCAATTTTTTTATTGTGTAAAACTACTGCCCTTAAATAGAAAACACTTATTTGAAGATAGTTGATTGTGAATGAATTGTGTTATATAAACAATGGGTTGTTTAATGTTAATAAAATTTAAAATGAAAATAATCTATACTTATCTTACTTTCCCACTCAAAATACTCTAGGTTTCTATCTTCCTTGTACTGCATAATGATTTCTCATAAAAGTAAAAGGAGAGATTTTGATACATATTTTTTAAAATTCTGTACATCTTTGACCTTCTGGTAAAATACAAAGGACTAAATCAGATGGAAAAAAAATCTTGAAAACTGCATTCTTTTCTATAGACACTATACATCTGGCAAATAATAGTAATGTTCATCACACTAGTTAAATGAGCTAAGAATACCAGAGGGACCATTAAATGTTACAAGAGTGTGTGAAAACTGAAAAGAAAAAAATCCATATTTTTAACAATATTTTAGACTCTTCTTTTTAACTCAGTAAAAAGGAATTAATAAAGAAGTTGTACCTAAGTTTTCATTAAGTCTTATGAAATATGCTTTGAAAATTGTAGCTAAATTAAAACCAAGTTAGTAGTTTAAACATTATGCACTTGAAAATTACAAACAATATATAATTCTCTTCCAATATTTTCATTTCAAAATATTATGATAAAAATGTTTTTAAAGTTTTATTTCTGAAGTATAATTCTTTAAAACTGGCAAGATATGTTCTTATGCCATTTAAACATGTGCTAGATACATCTCTGAGTTTTATATGCAAACCTACTATATGCCTAAAGTTATACAAAATATAAAACGCCTTTAGTACTCTCAAGGTTAAGCCATTTTTAAGGGGTATAAAAAATTAAACACATTACAATTGAACACATTTAATAAGAATTCAGCATGTACAAAATATTTAATGAATTTCTTATTTATGTGGGAATATATTTTCTAACCAATCTGAAGGCTTAAAGGAAAGTATATTTAGAATTATTTGAGCTTTTAAACTACTTGTAAGTTATATCTGTGATTGAGCATCAAAACATTAATTCATTGTATGCAGTTACCCTGAGAGTCTAAACATTTTTTCTTTCTTTCTTTTTCTTTCTTTCTTTCTTTCTTTCTTTCTTTCTTTCTTTCTTTCTTTCTTTCTTTCTTTCTTTTTTCCTTCCTTCCTTCCTTCCTTCCTTCCTTCCTTCCTTCCTTTCTTCCTTTCTTTCATTTATTCATTCTGTAACTAGTTATTAAGCATATACTACATGTGAAGTATTTTTGATAATATGTAGGTAGAATCATAAGCCATAGCCCCATTCCTTTGGAAGGCGGGGGTGGGGTGGGGGGGGCGCGCCTGGGTGGCTTAGTCGGTTAAGCGTCCGACTTCGGCTCAGGTCACGATCTCGCGGTCCGTGAATTCGAGCCCCGCGTCGGGCTCTGGGCTGATGGCTCGGAGCCTGGAGCCTGCTTCCGATTCTGTGTCTCCCTCTCTCTCTGCCCCTCCCCCGTTCATGCTCTGTCTCTCTCTGTCTCAAAAATAAATAAAAACGTTAAAAAACAATTTTTTTTTTTTAAAAAGAAGAGAGGGTGGGGGAAGGATAGTAATAAAGCCCAGAAAGCACATAGTTGGTGATTGGGTTGACCATCTACCTGCTCAGTAACTGATTGGGCCATACCACATGCCAGGCACAGAGGCACACACTGGGGATACAAAGGTAAATAAGCATTACTCCTCTCTTAAGAAGTGTATAGTCTTGGGGGTGGGTGTGGGGCGCTGATAAGTAGGTAATAGTTTGCTTGTGGTAAATACAATAGTAAAGGTGTCTACATGGGTTTATATAAGTAATGCTGTGGGAAACACTATACTATGTGCTATGTACCTGAAACTATTAAGTTCTATTAAGTAGGATTTTGAGGCCAGGCTAGAGCAATATGATGATTTGGGAGGCTATAGCAGTGATATTTCAGACAAAAGGAAATTTCTTGAAACTAGGAAATGATAAAGAATGGAGAGAGAAGGACCAATTGAACTATTTAGGAGGTAAAATTGAACAACTTACTTGATCAGTGGAGATGAAAAAGAATATAATCAAGGATAACATTAAAATTTTTAGCACAGGTGAATTATAGTTGGTTATTACAATGACAAAGAGGAGAGAGCAAGAAGATCATAGTGAAGGTAATTAAAAGGCCATATTAAAAATGCTACATTATCGAAGTGCCTCTGAGATATACAGGTACAGATGTTTAGCAGGTAGTTGGCTCAAAAGAGAAGTCTGGATAGCAAGTATAGTTTCTATCTAGGGAAGGGCTCAAAGCATGAAAGTATGTGAGATCATCCAGGGAAAGGGTTTATAGAATAATAAGGGAAGAAGACTGAGTATGGAATCTTAAGAAAAAGCATCTTTCAGAAAACAAGTGGAGAGAGATGATCTCATTAATCAGAGTCAAAAAGAATAGTATCAGAGACTAAGAAACCATGATGTTATACAGTAGTCCTCCCTTATCTATGGTTTTGTTTTCCATAGTTTTAGATACCAGCAGTCAACCATGGTCAGGAAGCAGATGATCCTCCTGACTCAAGGTCATGAGGTCAGTAATAGCCTAACATACATCACAATGCCTACGTCGTTCACCTCACTTCATCTCCTTGCTAGGCATTTTGTCATCTCACATCATCACAAGAAGGATGAGGACAGTACAATAAGATATTTTGAGAGAGAGAGAGAGAGAGAGAGAGAGAGAGAGAGAGAGAGAGACCACATTCACCTAACTTTTATTGCAGTATATTTTTATAATTATTCTATTGTATTATTGTTGTTAATCTTTTCCTGTGCCTAATTTATAAATTAGATTTTATCATAGGGATGTATGTATACGAAAAAAAATAGATAGGGTTTGGTACTATCTGCAATTTCAGGCATCCACTGTTGGTTTTGGAATGTGTCCCCCATGGGTAAGGTGGACTACTGTATAAGCCTTGGGGATAAAGAACTTCAAGGAGGGTGTGATCAGCAGTATAAAATCCAGCAGCAGAGGCCACTGAGGTAAGGACTGGCAAGTCTCCTTGGTAAAAGATGAAGGTTATTGGAGATTCTGGCAAACTCCAGGGGAATGCAACCATTGAGGCAGAGGCATAGTTGCAGCAAGTTCAGGAGTAAATTGGAGCGTTAAGACATGGAGAAGAAGAGTATGGAATACTCAGTGGAGAAATTTTGATGTGAAGGCAAGAAGAGAAATTAGATGGAGGGAGAACTGGAGTTAGGGTGACCAACCATCCTGGTTTCCCTGGACTGAGAGCATTCAGTGCTAATACTGAGTCCCAGGCAAACTGGGATGATAGGTCTCCCTAACTAACTCGGGTAAGGGAGACTTTACCATACCTTTTTTCCTACGAAGAGAGATCAAAGAGCATCTGATCTAGGAAAAGGTTGTGGATATGGTAATTAAAAGTATGTAATTAATAGAAATATTTTTAATCAAGTTCTTTTATTTCATTATTACCACTTATGAAAAGTATTCTATTTTCCCTATTTGAATTATTAGGAAAATTGAAAGGAATGTGAGAAAATTAAAGGTGACATGATATGTTTTCTGCAAAATTAGAAGGATGGTGCATAGCACATACATTTTAATTATTATACTAATCATTTCAAAAGTGTTATTTTTTTTTGTTATGTGGAACCAAAAACAAAATGTGTTTCCTTATTGAATTGGAAAATTAGAATTAGCAATGTAATATCAGTCTTTACCTATTTACGTGCTAAATAATACAAGCACTTTATAAAGAGCCTCAAAGTGATAAAAGAAACTGAAATGGCACAAAATAAATGACTCTTCATGAGGAAGAAAAAAATTCAGACCTAAGGTGTTGTCCTTATTAGTTGCAGAATTGATAAGCTCCAAGCCATAGCCCTTAAAGAATGAAGGAACATATAGTTTAGATAATTAATACGTTCTTCAAAAGTGTCGATACTAATTTCAGTCCCATTGAAGTCAGAAAAAGGGGTGTGTGTGTGTTTTATTGAACTGTGTGGACAAGACTTGTCTCAAATTCACCATGGACTAGTTTTGTGATATTCCTAGCTGCTAGTGTTCTAGGACCTGTCCTTAGACTTCCTGAGACCAAGTATGCAGAAAGGGTTTTGGCTAGGGAAAGTGGTGTATAAATAGATGTTTCTACCATAAAAGCATTTTAAAGCTATAGATGAAAGCACAGCTTGACCAAGTGAACATTAACAATTCACATTCTCCCTGAGAAGAAGAGTGAATTCACTCTTGGCCTAAGATCCATTATACCTTTAGACTTAGACCACAGCCTATAACATTTCACTGCTAAGACTGTTGCGAAGTAGAAGAGGGAAGGGGGCCTTTCA